AGAGAGAGAGAGAGAGAGAGAGAGAGAGAAAGAAAGAGAGAGAGAGAGAGAGAGAGAGAGAATGAGCTCGTGCGATTATTATTATTCCGTGAACGCAACAGTTTCCCAAAATTCATTGAAATCGATTTTTATTCTAGGTTTTTCTCTCTCATTTGTTGAGGTCTCTATTGCCACTGCTTCTTCTTTTTTTTCCTCATCCAAATCCGTTTTCATGCATGATTGACGCTTCCATTTTTCTGTTTGTCTCTAAAACGACTCCGCCACACAAACCCATAAAACTTTTTTCTTCCCATTTTGAAACAATGCAATTGATAAATGGCTCCGAATCAAATGAGATTGCTCATTTTGTAAATAAACCGTGTTCTTCTTTGTGTATTGTTTTTTTGTTTTAGTTTTAAAACGTGCCTTGCAATCAATTCTTTCGAGCGAAGAACGAAGATAAAAAAGAACAACTCAACCAAATGCTGTAAAAATCAAACATTCTGATCCGAATCAAATGAGATGAAAAAACGATGATAATGGAAAACATATAAAAAAGATATCAAAACCAACCCCAATAATCTTCAACCAAAAATTTAATTTGTTGCGTAATCAATGGGTTTGTTTATTATTTGTACGTGTAGTTTTAAGGATTTAAGATAATCAAATACATGTTTTAATCAGCATAAAAGAAAGAAGGAAAAAACAAAGAAAAAAAAACGATTTACGATAAACGGATTCATGCTTCGACTATCGCAATAAATCCTTAAATGTTTTAGCAAAACTGAAAAGAAAACAAATTCAAAACAAAATATCACAATTGTTCGATTTTGTGGATGTAAACGTGTAGAAAGGATAAAACTAATGGTTTCCCAATGATCAAGAGAAAAAAAAGAAAGAAAAAATAACTATCGTATTAGTTTTTTTTTTGATGATGTTGTCGATAACAGAACAAAAAAAAATACTGTTTTTCTTCGTGTAATTTATCTTTATCCACTACACCACACATACGTAGCTATGAAACCGATTTTGTATAAAAAAAATAAACAAGTGTAACCCATTTCGAAACATCCACATACATTTATATATATATATCTTTTTCATAAGCTTTTTATTTTCGTATCCCAACATGGCTGTACTCTAGTTGAATTGCTTTAATCAAAAAGGATAATTTAAGCAAGTAACAACAACAACGACAACCACAACTTATAAACATAAATTTCGATAGAAGAGAAAAATAGATGCCGTAGATAAAAAAAATAAAAAGCAACCACAACAGTAACAACAAACCACAAAATATCCACTGTGAACAAGTGATGTGTAGACCGAAACGTTTATAACGTAGTTATTTTGTCTTTTCGTAGAATTTAGCATCATTTATAAGTGAGAAATTTAAAAAACAAAACTTGTGTAGTGCGTACATCTGTTCTTGAGGGGAATAAATCAATGAAGAAAAATCAAGAAGCAGTAATTATAAGTGAATACACGTTGAACAAAGGTGAATAAATGAAATTCATCAGCAGTCAGGAGGAGTGACTCCTGGCCGAAGGCATCGCCAAATCAGCATTAAATTTGAGATTGTGTACAGTCTACTCTTAGATTATAAACCCTCATAATTTTTGTTAGTAAATGTGCGTAACAAAAAAAAAAATAAAACAAAAAAAAAATGACAATGCGATCAACTGAAAAAATGCTTTGCATTTGGAGATGTCGCCCCGAATGGCAGCTGTTTCGAATACACATATGCATACACATACACACAAGGGCATCTTCTCAGTTATCGACCATTGTTCTAATTCACATTTCATGTATTGCAACAACGAGCTTTCTATAAATGTATATTTACTATTTTATTCTTAACGTTTTACATATGACATGTTGCGTGGTGACGTTCGTACTATGTGCACATGCACTGTGCCGACAGCGACGACGACGACGACGACGTCAACAACAAGAAAGAAAAACCCATGAACATTTAAACTATGCTGTAGTGTTTCAATAATATTTACATCATCTCAATGGGAAAAGATTGCAAATGACATGCATTGAACGGAAGTCGAAAACATTTCTTGTTTAAAGCACACACACAATAGCCATCATAGTTATAGTGAAAACAATGCGAACAAAAAATTCCGATGTTTGTATCGGAACCTTACGTCGAGCAAAGTGAGGACAGTAAGAGAAAGTTCAGAGAGAGAGAGAATGGTAGAAAAAATATATAGCGGAAACACAGTGAGAGAAAGAAAAAAAAGTAACATATTTGTTTTTATCAAAGGCACTATGCGGGAAAAATGACATTTAGATAACGAAGGGCAAATATTACATAAGACAATGGAAATGGCAAACAAACAAAAAACATACAACGGATGAATGCATAAATCAATATACAAAAATTTAGGTGATGAATAAAGAACCATTACAATAAGTTTAAACAAAAAAAAACATGGTTTTATTTCGTTGTTCCTCATTTTTTTTTCTCTTCATTTGTTTGTTTCAGGAAGAACGTTCAAAGTTTTGTGTGTCTTGTTTTCGTTGTTTCCTTTTCTCGTCTCTTATTAAATCAATTTCAGCTTGACCCCGAACCGGATTTCCAACCAAAATGCAATCTACCATCGGGCCAAATCGATGTAATGCGAATTGATGACGGCAGCGCATTGCATTGCATACAACGATTACCGTAAAATTTTATGACTCACATAAATATGTCGACACTCGACGTACATAAAACTCTACTTGGAATTCTCTTTTTTTCTCCGTTCATATCGGAAAATGTGCTCTCTCTCCTTTTTGGCATACTACCACTGAACACCTTGAACGGAAAAACTTTACCATACGGCACTGGTATGCTCACTCAAAAATAATTACCAAACGATAGACGATAGGAGGACAACTCACGAACAAAAAATCAACAACTTGAACGAATTACATTAACCGGCGTATATATTCATTGGCCGCAAATGTTTGCGTCAGTTTCGAATCGAATGAATGTGGAAGCATTTTTTAGATTGTATTCGGTGCGGAATGTGTCTAATCAAATCAAATGCATAGAATAAGCCAATTCAGCGCCTTTAACCAAAAGACGCACCGACAACCGACAACCGACATACGGTGGCTTGAAGGCTTTTATGTTGTAAACGTTCCATGAATTTTATTCGACATAAACTCATTCATCGATGGGTAAGTGCATATTCTTGAGCCGTTTCAACCGAATAGCACCAGGTAATGGGAATGTAATGATTGATTTTACTACGACATTTTTTCCCGTCTCGCACACACACGCACATACAAAAGCCGATAAGACTAAAAGCATGTCTCGGCTATAATTCGATTTCTACAATTGAATTAGACAACATTTTTTGGGATTAGATTCTTCTTTTTCCACATGACATTGTGGTAGCATCTCTCGACCGAAATACCAGTTTTATTGATTTTCCCAGAAATATTCGGGTATTACAAGCCATCAAACGTTCGGTATGATTTTGGATCCCCTTTTTGATGGACATTTTCAATCAATCGAGCCAAGTCTAGTTCTATTTTTGATGATCATTGATTTTATATCAAATATTCTAGATTGTCTCTCTTGTATCAGTTTTCAATTAGCCACTTTCTGATCGAAGATTGTAAATAAGCAGC